TTATAAATTGAAAATATTCCAATGGCTCTGCGGTCTCGTCGCTGCGGAAGGGAACTACGAACTCTCCCCCGCCCTCCAGCCACCCCGCTATCCCGCCCCACAACCCGCGCCCTGACCCGACGACGTCTCGCCGCGTCTGTCTGCACCCTGCATTTTCTTTTCTTTTCCATAAAAGTCAGCTGCTTGTTTATCTCGATTTATAAATATTAAAAGTGGCAATCAGTAGAAATTGTAAAATAAAAACAAATAAACCTTAGCGTTTACTTTTTCGATATTATTACCTGAACATTTATTGTGGTAACATAAACCAGATAAAGTAATAATTTCCGTAAAGCTCCTAGTATTTTTAAATAGCAATTTTTGTGGACAATAATTGGTAAGTTACACTAACCGTGTAGATTACGGGCGTAAGTTGTGTTGTTGACAATATTGGATGGTAAGGGTATGTGGATTTGACAGCGGAGGGGACGCAAAAGAAGGCGTATGTCCTTTTTCTGTACGTCCGCACTTCTGTCAATTAACAGTAGGTTACGCATCTGTAGATGTCGCTTCATTATTAAGGCGAATTCAAGTGGCCGCTTTACTGTAAAAACTATAAAAGATCACAGCGACATTTGTCAAGTAGAAGGTAGTAATTGAATTTCTAGTTAGTCGCAATTAATTCTGCCTTTTCAATTTCAACGACGGGTAAAGAATAGCGCTCGTTACAGTTCGACAAATAATAGAGCAGGTTTACAGTTTGCTTTTCCTTTTATATCAATTTTATTCAACAAAATACCAGCTTGATTTAAACAAAGAATTAACACCTAACAACAATGGCATCATGAATATAGTTTATAAAGAAAATTTTAAAGCAGAAAAATCCTTTGTCCAACAGCATATTAAATGCTTAATATCTATTAATTATTATTATATTCTTATAATCAACCATTTTGTATTCGATAGCTAACTAATTATGGTAATACGTCTATGTTTTAAAATACTTACGGCCACTTACAAAGTCATGAATTGTTCACTAAAGGCGACCCTTAGTATGAATATCATATTTAATCTACATTAGAGGATCACTTATTTCTGAAGCAGTTAATCTGTTTTATATAGTTCTGTTTTTGTTTTAAATAAATAAAAGTTTTTTTAGGCTGACACAAGACAATTAGTAAATCAAACAGACAGGTCACGTTCCGGACAGTTTCCTAGCGGGCGATAGATCACGTTCACAATTAGCCGCGCTCACTTCAATATTTTTCTACCTGGCCCTCGGAATATTTAACTGTTATATTTTTCTATAGGTATAATTGGCAATTAAGGCCTTTATACACGGAATGCTTGAAGCTTCGCTGCCGATTATTTGAAGATGTTCGTGTACAGCTTTGCGATATAACAGCGAAATAAAAGTAATTATATTTATATAACATGTAAGTATGATTTAGTTCTAATTAGCGTTCGCCCGTGACTCCATCTGCGTGGTATTGAAAAAATAAAAGTAAGTAGCCTATGTTTTCTTGCAGATTATGCTCTAAATCTGCGCCAAATTTCATCCAGATCTGTTTAGCCGTTTAAGCTACAAACTCTAACAAACATCCATCCATCTAAACTTTCACATTTATAATATTAGTAAGATCACAAAATCCTACGCAATATAAGTTATGAGGTTAAAAAATACAATTGTTTTCGATGTTTCATTTATTACATAGGATCGCTTGTTTACCTAGTGTTTATAATATGCATAATAATGCTAACATATTGCAAAAGTATAGACAAAAATACGGGCGAAAAATGATCTTATGCAATAACAACACAAAAAACTACATAAAGATAAACAATTTGCCTCAACGTGTATCAACTAGAGGCTGGTAATTAAATTCAGCTTCCAGCGCAATTAATTCGTATTGCATAATTCCAGCAGACAGGTAAAGGATTGCGCTCCTCCCTGTTTGTTTTAATTGAAATCCATCTGACAGATTCTAATAAATGCTTTAAATACTAAACATTTGAGTTTTCTTTTTTATTATTTTTATTCTATAACAACAAAGAGAAATACAATCTAGATATTAGAGACTAGCTTTTGTCCGCAAATCCGTCCGCGCGAAATAAAAAAAACAAAAGTAAGTAGCTTACGTATTCTTCCAGACTGCTTTACTTCTATGCTAAATATCATCAAAATCCGTTCAGTAATTTAAGCTACAAACATCCATCCATATAAACATTCGCATTTATAATATGAGTAAGAAGTAAGATGTGATATATGTTGACGCTTAAACCGTAACAAAGCCTGTTTAAATAAGTGGCATGTAACTGAAATATGTAAAAGTAATAACATAAAGTTGTATGCAAATGTAGGAAGCGGTATCGAACAAATCAATGTAATGCAGCAATCAGGAGAGGGATGGATTGTCTAGACTAGACTCGCTGCACCGAGCGTATCCGGAACATTGTTAAATTGCCGAGGTTAATATCAAAGGCAGACAATACGTAATGTATTGGCCTGGAATGTATAAAATTATAGTGATTTATATGATTCTTTCAGAAAAAAATATATCAAACGATTGAAAATAATATGGTAATAATTATCATGTGGATAATTTTTTTTTAAAAAGACTTCGATATAGGACAAGGATCTCAACTCGCTTAGAAGTAAATAGGTAATTTATGTAATTTCACTCACTTTTCTAACACACTTACGAAATGCCGTAAATTTTGTCCAATTTTATTACAATTCAGTGTAAGATTTGTCTTCAACAAACGTCGACGATTAAAAATTAAAAGCTAAACGGTGGAAAATTAAAACGCCGCTGTAAATTTAATCTGTACGTAATCAAGGCGTTGAGCAGAAGCAAAGAGGTGGCCGTTGCAACTAGCGGCTAACGAGATTACAGTCGAGGGAGTCATGGACATTTTTACTGGAAACTATTTGTAACTAAATTGATATTAATAGTATACACTTTAAATAACGTATTATTACTAACGTATATGTACGTACGCATAATATATGCCTCGGGAACCGGACATTTCTCTGGGATGAAGCTTATCTCATGTGTACTCCAGACTTTGTTTTATATCTGTGCCAAATTTCAATAAGATATGTTGAACCGTTGCAAAATGATCGAGTGAACATTAAAAACCTAAATTAATGAACCCCACGGGAACCGTAACTATTCCCGGGATAAAAAGTAGCCTATGTGTTCTTCCAGACTATGCTCTAAACCTGTGCCATTTCATGGAGATCCGTTCAACCGTTTAGGCTACAAACATCCATCCATCCATCCATCTAAACTTTCGCATTTATAATATTAGTAAGATTAACGTAAATGTACATCTGTAACCAAAAAAACATGCGTTTTTTGTTTGATCTCACTAGGTGGATTGTATATCCTAACAGAAATTCCCTTGAATATGTCTGAATTTCGAATCATAAAAATAAAACATTTTCATATTTAACTAAGATCTATGTACATTTGATGTTTTTCAGAAAAATTATAATTTAATTGTATAAATGTAGTACAATACAAGTAAGAAATGAGTAAATAATTTAGGTACAAGCCTCAAGAAAAAATAAAGCAAATCTAGATTGGTTACCTCATATACACGCACGACTCCTCCACAAGACTAATTAATTAATTTAAACGCGATGTATAAGCTAGTACTAGGAGAACCAATGATCCGTAGGGACTGGCGTAATTGGATATCGCTCATATAATTGAATAATTAACACAGAGGTACTTTTTAGAGCAAATACACAACGACTAGATTTATGCAGTGTTAAAACGAATTTCATAGAATTTAGATTTTAATAAATTTCCCATAGTTAAAACACAATCCGATTTATCAAGTGTTGCTTCAAAAGTGTGTCCTTATCCTTTTGTATGTATTCGTTGCATATTAAATACTAATATGATATAGTACCGGTATGTATTCGTGTAATATTAAAAAACGCGATATAAATTTAGAAAATAGTGTAAAAAATAAAAAAGTTACTTTTTATGCAAAGGTCATGTTTAGTTTTAAAAAGCGCCATCTATTGAATAGAGGGTTAACACAAAAATAAATAGTTCACTTTTTAAATACTAGATGTCGCTCTAAACAATTTCTTTTTGTTATCAATAGACTTGAGAATAGTTATCAATAGATGGAACACTATTTGTTAAAATAAATTGTTATTCAAATTTCAACAATCAATGAATTTATTGATTTCAAAATGTCTTCAAATTTAAGAAAAGTCTATCGCACTCAGATTTTGTATTTTGTATTTTGACAATCACAGTTTTTTTTTACTTTGGTTTTAACTTTCACATTACATTTAACAACTGAAAAGGGTTACTTAAAATTCACAAATTCATGATTTTTTTTATAAAAGTCGGCCAATGTAATAACAGAATAGTTAATATTGCGTCATAGGTACATGACGAGGTGGCCGAGTGGTTAAGGCGTTGGACTGCTAATCCAATGTGCTCTGCACGCGTGGGTTCGAATCCCATCCTCGTCGATTTTTTTGTTGACTCAAACAACGGCTATTTACACCATAATAATTATTATTTACATGGCATTGGGTAGTGTACAAAATATTATAATTGCAATTTTATTTTTTTAAATATCAGATTTATTCAGTATTTACGTGACGGTTACAAACAACATTTATTACGAGACAAATATATTTCAAGACCATTTTCTCAATTTTGCATTTTTAACCAAAGTAAAATTAACAACCAATAATCACTTCAGTGCAATGCTTGCCGGAATAGTAAATTTGATGATAAAAGACATTACATGTAACTACAAATTTCATTCAATTCATCGGTCTATATAATCCAAAATTTCTGAATTTAATCATCATAGTTCCCGAATCTAATTAAGCTTTCCAGAAACCATACGCGTTCAATGATTTCACCACAATCAACACTATCGGTATAATCGCGAGTAAAAAACAGATATAATGTGAGATAACAACACAGCTATCGTTGGTATGAATTTATCTAGACCTGCTTTTATTATCTTATCGTGAAAACTGTTGCCCTTTATTTTACAAGTCTCTGTTAGGTACACGTTGGGCGCGACCGAATTTACTGTGCTTTGCTCAATAATTACTATTGTATACTATTTAGTAATAATCTTTTAGAGTGGACATGCCCTTGTTGGGCAGAGTAGTGAAGTGTTAAGTGTAAAAAGTGAAAGCGGATTCATATTGATAAGATCGCCGAAAAACAAGGTTATCAAATTTTCTTACAATACGTGGTATTTCTTATTCACATCATATGAAATGTCTTTTGGTTGTTCTAAAGCCCTTCACTAAATTAGTCATAGATAAATTGTGTTAATTAAGTGCAAAATTAACATTATTTTCGATTACAATCTTCAACTCATAAGATGAAAAGCGCATACTTTTTGCTGGAATAACTAACATTTTTAGATTGAGTATATTTTCTAAAATGAATATAATGCCTGAGGCTTGTATACTTTAGAGAATTTCAGCCTTACAAATAAACGCTGTATAAAGTTAAATTTGTACTAATATTTCATTATACTCAGTTTATTTAAGTTTATACCGCGTTTATTTGTAAAACTATACACTGCCGGCCAAAAGTTTGAGACCATCTTGAAAAACTCTTGGCAATGAGTTTTATTGATTTACAGTTTTGATTTAATTATTTACTACGTCAGTATCGTTGACTACGTTAATTTACTGTACATGTAAGCTTACTTAGGCTATACAAAACTGTTTCGCAACTGTTAACATAGTTACATGAATGTGTTTTTAAAGTAATTCTAACGCATACTAAAAATAACCTCGATACGGATGACATACTTTTAGTTCCAAATTTACTATCAGTTCTATTGGATTAGACAACTGTTATCTAGGCAAATAGTATGAGTACTTCAACAAACGAAATTAAATGTAAACAAAAAAGCTAACACAGACAATAAAATGTGTGACAGTTAGCTCTGAAAAACTGTTCAAAAGAATAACTACTTAGTTTGTGGGTAAAGGTAATTTATAGTTTTTAAAATTAGTATTATAATATGGTTTAATTTTCAGTTATTTCACTTTATTGATAAGTTTTGACATTTCTGATAAGGAAAGATAGAAAAAAATCAAAACACTGACGCAAAATACATGTTCTTCGTATTGAATTATATTTCCTGTTATCCAAATAATTCGTTAAAAATATTTAAAACCAAACTGAGATCAAAATAAAAATGATCTAGTGTTAAGAGCTACTGTAATTATTTTTTTTGTAATTAAAACGTTAAAACAAAAACTCAACCTTGAAGTCCGTATTTCCTCCGGCACACCTTGTTGTAGATAACGACATATTGTTATAACAAATTCCTTTGAATCAGTCATCGATTTACATTATCGTATCACACTTTTGTTTGCAGGATTACATGTAATGCAAGATAATTGTTTTACAATATTTATGCACATTTAGAACTAATTGTAAAAACATATATAGTAACATTTACCAAAATAATAACTACCCACTTTTAATTCAATGTTATTCATGTACAAAACGTTGATAGAAATGAAATCGCGCATATTTGCCTACCTTCTTATTTGTTCAGCCAGTTACAAAGATTTAAGTAAGGAGTAATAAGCATATCGATACCTAAACAGATCCTAATGACGTCATGATATCTCAAGTACAAAGCGCTCACCGTTCTAAGCTCATGTTCATGAACTGTTTCAGATATAACAATGTTCTGGTTTACGGCGATTCTAATCGCAATACCATGCGCCCGAGCCCAGCTAACAGCTCAATCAAGCTTAGCACCAGATCTGAGGGAATGCTACACGACGCCACAGCTAGTGGACAGAAACAACCTGCCGCCAGCCACCATGCCCGTACTCATCGATATCATTCGTAAGATAGAAGACAACCCTAACGTCAACGTCGACTTGAGACAACTCGCTGTTCTCCTACTTCATACGTGAGTAAAACATTCAACATACAAAGAGAGTCCGAAAAAAATATAGACTTTTTGGACAATATTCCTGATGTCCGCTCTATCTCTTTTATAATGGAGAGTGGAGAACAAATATATTTAGAAACTGTCCCTAATATTTCCATAAATATTTCAGGTACAGACAAGATGGTATCGAATTCCATCAGCCCGAGGTAATGTTAGGCGCGGGCTCAACAATTCTTCCTTTCGCACCTACCTTCCATTCATTTTACAGACATAGATTATTACTGACTAGGATTATTCCTGGAAACTTGCAAACTCTTAGCAATACTACAGTTAACTCCGAATTAAAGGTAATTTCAGATCATATTTAAAATTGCAGCACACTATTATTACAGTCATTTAAATATTAATGTATTTGCATTTTATTGTAGTGCGCTCTACATCATATGCTCTCTACAACTGTAGACGCCCGTCTGCGAGGCAATGAAAACAGCTGCAACCAATTGTCTCAATACCGCGCTCTGCGGACAGCGAGGGCCGTTACCCTCGTCGAAGATGACGTTGAAATTATTGATTTAGCTACATTGTGAGTAGTCGAACTACTTTCTGTTTTCCATAACTCTAAAACCTGTAAATCTAACTGTCACTCTATTTCTAAACTTGTAGATTGTAGTCTAGTGGTTGTAGATGCCACAGTGTATAATTTAACTATGTCTTTAATAATCAGGAAAGCAGCAAACAAAAACGGTCACATGAGACATCACAATCCGAAGGACGACGTTGAATACACAGGCTTTGGTGATGCGAAGTCCGAGCGTCAAGTGTTAGGGCAAAGTACCTGTCCGATACTCGGCGGAGTGGTGAACACACGCTGGGGAGCCGTCTCCGCAGGACATCTTATAGCTGGCATAGCTGCCGGTGCTGAACTGCAGCAAGTACCAGTCCTCGAACTAGCTAAGAGCAGTTTCCTCAACTACAATAATGTGCAACAGACTGTCACCTCTATCTACCCTGCTACGCTGTCAGGTTAGGCACTGACGTACCAGGCTTTTATTACTTTTCTTTGATGCTATGTGACGTTAACATCTAGCAATTAATTTCTAAAAACTCTTTCAGGTGATTTAGCCGAAGCTGTGTTGATTCAAGGAACAGAAAGAGGCAATCCGTCAATATCTATCGGCACAGCAGGAAACTGGAACAGTTCACAAGCGACCAGATTTTACATGTTGCATAGCCGTATCAATGTTGAGATGACTGACCCGGAGATACGGGGCGATATCGACGGATTCGTCCTCGGCACGATTCTTTCGTCGATACTTAGCGCTTCAAACACTCTGAAATTGTCACAGCTTTTGGATATGTATTATACTCCGAGGGTAAGTCAAATTGTTTAAAAATCTCTTTATGTAATGCCTTTGGATAATTGAATGCACTTGACCTAAGGTCTTTTTATTCTCTTTAAAGACTAAAGGCGTACTGTCTCTAAAACATTATGTTCTTATATGTTTCAGAACGGAGTTTACAATTCCAATCTTCGTGCATGCAACCGTCAGGCACTGAGTCAGCAGTACGTTACGTCAACTAACTTGGCGTCAGAGACCTACACGTTTGCCGCGGCTCTGGACACAAACATACCTCTCAGAGGAACAATCACCGGCGGTTTGGAGGACCTCGTTAATAGCGCTGTCACTAATTTCCAGACCTACGCTTGTGAGTTTTAAATCAAGTTTTTATGCACTATTGTTTGCATTGTATGTATTGGCATATAACTTGTTTGAGCTAGCTCAGCCAACACTTTTCCATTTTCTGTGAAAATAAATTTACAAATTGAATTTTTTATTTCAGCAAACAACTTAAATGACCTGAACTGCGTCACAACGGAAGCGACCTCAGTAGACTATCGCCTCAAAACCAACTTGTACATAGTACTGGACGCCATGTGGCAGTTTCAGGCCGTGTATCCCGCAATATCTTACCTCCTCGACAACATCGAAGTCAGCAAATACGGCTCCAGTGTAACACTACTGAGCGCTTTCGACGGCAGCGTCATCGTCAACAAAACCTTCTCAATATCTGATTTCCATACTAACTACACTTTAGGAAGGCATCAGACTTGTAAGTTCTCTCTATTTTATCATCCAATTGTTGTTTTACCACTAATGCTAATAGCAATACAATTATTGACATATTTATTTCTACAGTGCTCTCAGGAGTGAATATGGAAACATCTTTGACAAACATACGCATAATGATGCACAATGAATTAGAAAATGAAAGAACCATGAACTACGTAGGTGGAAACTCATCAGTTCTACTGTTCCTACTCAGCAGTGGTAACATACAAATCACACAAAATGCCTTGGAGCAAGCTAGAATTCTAAACGAAACCGTTCCAGGTAAGAATTATTTTAATGTAACACAAAGATTAAATTATAGCCTAAGTTTATTTAAAAATAATATGTCATTACAGATCTAAGGATTCTTTTTGCAACTGCGACGAATCAATTCGATAATTTGTGGAGTATGGTACGAGACGTACACAATGACATTAAAACTGTTTCTTTAAATACTGAAGGAACTAATGTAGAAATCACCATGAACCCAGTTCTCGACAGGATTGCTGAAGGTAAATACATGCTCTATTTTATTGAAACTGAAAATTGTGCATCGTTCTATATTCTTCAATTTATATCAATAAAATATTTTCAGTTGGACGAAGGATTATCAACCCAACTTGCGGCTCCACATACCCATCAGACTCGACTTCGGGTACCAGACAATTCGAAGATTTCGTGGAACCTGGATACGTCAACTTTTATGCCATAAGTCCGAATTATTTCTATCAAAATAATAATAACAGAAGAGTTCGTATTTCACGCAGCGGCGCCGGAACTGGAAGTTTGATTGTTTGCTTTTCGCGGGCCACGGCACAACCTAGGTAATTCTTAGTCCAAATTTACCTACAGCTTTATTTTCAAGATTTCATTCATTATATTTTACTCATAAATCCTTTTGCAGACAAAATGCTACTTTATCCGGTCTCGACGAGGGTGCAGTAACCTGTCAAACTTTAGCCACAACAGGAAATGTAGAAATAGGTCTTCAGAACCCTTGCGAAGGATACTGGACCATTAATTCTTGTCCATTCTATTACATTTCCGTTCAATCGTCAGTCGCGGCTTCAACATCGCTCAGTGCTGTCTGTACAGGTACGATTTTTTTTTAGTTTAGTATTAAAAAAACTGAAGAAATCTTCTGGTACTCACAAAAACAAAACATACACAACTAAAATGAGATGAAAATGAAATGAGAGAGAGAGATGAGAGATGAGTTACGAATCATAAAATCATATTTTTTTACAGAAAACGCCTGCAGATTTCCTTACAACGTTAGATACCAGGTGCAAATTGAGGAGTTCGGCTGCTTCAGCAGTGCAGGCTCTCTAGGAGTTAGCGTTGCGTTATTGCTGTCAGCAATATTGTACAATTTATTTAATTCCCACTAGTTTATTTATGAATATAACCAATTAGAACAGTTGTTACGCTTTGTAACACGAATAAATCTTAGTCAACGTTTAATGTGACAATACGCATTTAATTTTTTTATATAAATTTAGTCGTATACGATAATTCTATACCACCTAAAATATTTTTTAAACCCAATGCTATTGGAATACTTACTTGCTAACTTTGTTTTCACTGATTTCCATGGCCACAGCCTAAGTTTTTATATATGTTTTCGTTCAACATTTGGTACGATATAGGAAACGCACAAGAAAACTATATATTATATTTAAAAAAACACGTCTCTTTGATTCACTATTTCTATTCTCCTAAGTTTATTAAAAAATGTTATTATCATATTTGTCTCCTCTGCTATTAGCTAAAGTGGCCTAGGATTTAATATTGCCACGAAGAGATAAAATATAAAAAAACATATGCTTAGATATGTTTGTATTCGTAATGTAAACGTATAATATATGCTTAGGAACAGGGTTAGCAAACTTTTGATAATTAAAAATAAGTAATTTATGTTTAGTATTAATGTTGTGATCGAAAAATAAAAGCCTATAAAACCTTTTTAAGTTTTATTTGATGTCTTCTGTTATTTCTTTTGTAGTTTTACACTATTTTTAATTTGGTCGTTGTCTTTACTTAGACCGTGTTTAAAGGACCTTACCTAGAAAGAAGAGCTAACATACCCAAATATAATGTAGCCAAGTTTTAACAAAAAGGAGTGAAGGTGTATACTGCATCATACCATATGGTTTATATGTGAAGGGCCTTTGTTTTTTATTGTTGAATAACTAAAAGAAACAGGTGTCGTAAACTGTTTATTACGAGTTTTTATAAACTCGCCGCGGGAATCGTTTCTTCTTGTTTGATGTTTGTTTGTTAATAATTATTGTAGTATCTATAACTATATTATAATAAGTTAATGATTTTTGTCGAACTTTTGTTATAGTTTGTCTAAATAAGATAGATTTGATAAATGACGCAATTGAAATATTGAATTCAATTTGTATGAAGGCAAATGCCGTACTTAATAGACAGTTATCGTAGTGACGAAACAAACACGCAGCGAACAATTATAAACTATCGATATTCAGTTTAAATAATTATCGAACTCAACTAAAATTATTATTTCCTTATTCATTAATTTAGAGGACAATTCTAAGATTGAGTACAGTGTAGAAAATTTAGCGATGACAGAAATAATAGCGAAATACAATTCGATTACGTACGGCTATAGTAGTAATAAACATTTATTTACTCTCATTTTTTGTTGTCATCATCATTATCAGAAGCACTACAGCCGCGGGTGGGCCTGGGCCTGGTCCAGTAAATTCCTCCATATCGGTCTATCTTGGGCTTTTTGTTTCCAGCCCTTAATGCCGACATTTTTAAGGTCTCGTTCGACATCATCTTGCCATCTTAGTTTCGGCCTCCCGCGTGATCTACGTCCCTCTGGTTGACTCTCTAATAGGCGCTTGGGCACTCTGCAGTCACTCATCCTAGCTACATGTCCTGCCCAGCGTAGACGACCAATTTTGGCCTTGACGACATTTGGTTATTAAAGATTTGGTAAAGTTCGTGATTGTATTCGCCGCAGTATCCTACGCTCAAACACCAACAATCGTTCTTCGTCTTTCTTTGTCAAAACCCAACATTCTTAGGCATACGTCAATATTGGTCTAAGAAGTGTCTTATAATGGAGAATTTTAGTGCTTCTGGATAGTATTTTCGAGCTAAAATATCGTGACAGGCTATAGGAACATTTATTGGCAGCCGTAATTCTCCTGTTAATCTCCAAAGACATGTCATTGTTATTTGTTATAAGTGTTCCCAGGTATACAAAATTTTCGACACTGACAAAGGTGCTACTGCCAATGTTTACAGATACTGGTTGGGCTGTTGGTGATTGTTGCTTGTTATGTCTAAGATACTTTGTCTTGTCCTTGTTGACTTCCAGGCCGGCCTCCGCAGATGTCTTTTCTAGGGCAAGGTACGCACTCTCTATCTCAGACATGTTCCTGCCGATCACATCTAGGTCATCTGCGTATCCCAAAATTTGCGCCGATTTAAAAAATATGTTACCGCTGGTCTCGATCTTTGAATCGCGAATGCATTTTTCAAGAGCAACGTTAAAGAGTAGGCATGATAGTGCGTGAGGCCATCATAGGTGCTAAATGGTTGTGATAGGTCCGACTGTATCCTAACAACGCTCCGTGTATGCCTAAGGGTCATCTCTGTTAGACGTACAAGTTTTGTTGGTATCCCAATATCTGCCATAGCCTGGTATAAGTAAATTCTGTGGACGTTGTCATACGCAGCCTTGAAATCAATAAAAAGATGATGAGTGTCCACATTGAACTCGTATGTTTTTTCTAGAATCTGCCTAAGGCAGAAGATCTGGTCGATGGTGAATCAATTTGGTCGGAATCCCCACTGGTACTCGCCTAAAACTGGTTCTATGAAGTCCTTTAACTTATTAAAAAGTATTCTGGCAAAGATCTTATACGAGCTGTTAAGGAGGGTTATCCCCCTGTAATTGCTATATTCTAAAATGTCACCTTTTTTATGTAGGGGGCAAAAGACAGATAGGTACCAGTCTTCGGGCATTGCTTCATGTGTCAAGATTTGCAACACCATTTTATGAAATTCCTTTTCAAAACAGGGTCCCGCATACTTTAGGAGTTCGCCTTGAATGTTATCAATGCCAGGTGCTTTATTGTTTTTTAGTTGTAGTATAGCCAATTTAGTGTCGCCTTCAGTAGGTGTATTATCATCATCACAACTTTTCTGTACAGTCATATGAACTGGCATGGTTTCAGCGGGCTGGTACTCATAAATGTATTAAAAACTAACCACATACTGTGCTTTCATTATAAACAACAATAATTAAGTTTTCTATTATTCTGTATATGAGCGCTAAGTAAGACTATTTCTATTATGTTAAGACTATTCCATCCCTAACAGTCTCAAGTCTCAAGAGAGTGCATTGCTAAAAGTTTGCTACAAAGATTCTTTAACTATAGAGCCTTCTAACCGACAAACGAAGTTTGCGGTATTTCCTAGATACATTGTAAGGTACAAGTACTTCCTTTAGAATTTGTGTTCTCGTTTTCAAAAGGAAAGAATTTGCCTTTAATGCAGACATATTACCTTGCTGGTAACCCTAAATGCTCAGAGGCGCCATCCTGTCAATGTCAAAAAGGTGCCACAATAGACAATATCCTTGTGGCACTATAACTTATTTAGACACACTATAGGTATCAATATCCGTAAACGGTTTAATAAATGACAAGTCGTTTTGACAATTCGACTTTGACATTGACAGCAACACTACAACAAACAAATAACTTGGTGTTTTTAATTTTTGTTTATTTCTGAAATGTCGGGAGAAGATTGTGAAATATTAGATCGTGGTGACACTGAAGGACAAAAATCTGATAAAATGTTCACTCTCAAAAAGTGGAATGCTGTTGCTATGTGGAGCTGGGATGTAGAGTGTGATACTTGTGCTATTTGCCGCGTTCAGGTGATGGGTAAGTAAAAGAAAAACTACATTTATATTGTCAAACTGCCACATAAACTACTTTATTTTAAAGAAATTAGTTAAAAAATGTTTACCTATTGTTTTGTGGAAAATCTCTTATGTCACCATATTATGAAATGAAAAACATATTCAACTTTGGTCAACACATAATTTACGCAATGTTAAGTGCTTGACTTGGGTCCTTTTTCTTCTTTATGTTCCTTTTAGCACAACTGTTTGAGTGATGTCATTATGATATTAAAGTTTACTAAAAGATTCAACAAGAAATAAGTTAGTACCTACCTTTATTATTTTATTTATTTTAAATATTGATACTTTTAGTTATAGTTTAAATATTAACTATTGTTTATGCAATGTGCTGGCACAAAAATGCAGTAGATAATCCAAAACTTTGGAAGGTGCTTTTCTTTGTTCAAAACTGCACTATGATCAAAAATAGCCGAGCAGAACGAAATTTATTATAAAGGTTGTAGAATGCATTTAACTAGTAGTACAAATAAGTAACTGTATTATATATCTTACTTCTCATTGATGTTAATTAAAAAAAAAATTGGATGGATGAAGTTTGAGGGTAACTCGTGAATGCTGCATGGATTCGAAAGAAATTTGGTATTAACCCACAATATTGTCTGTATGACCATAAAATGTACTTACTAAGTTTTTTAAAAAATCTGTATGGACAAAGTCAAAGGCAATGTCTAGTGTTGCTGTGCATTACAGAACTATAGAATTATTGGAATTTATATGAAACATTGTTATGAACTAATTTAAATAATACAAATTACATTTAGTTAGTCTTATGTCAGCACCATTAATTTAGGAATATTAAAGGGCCCTTCTTCAGTGGGACTTATAAGTTAGCTATAAATTGAAAACCACTTTAGTTTTATAAAGGGACATGGTAATAATTTTAAGTTATTCAGAATGTACAGTGCTATACTTCCAAAGAAATCTTTATATTTTCGTGTGTAAATTATGGAAAAGTTATGTTATAAACTACAGACAATAATAATATTACAAAGAGGAAAGATTTGTATTTTTGTAAGTATTTAAACTTCTCAGAAACTATTAGACCGATTTAAAAAATTCTTTCACCATTAAAAAGCTATGTTATTACTGAGTAACATAGGCTATATATACCTTTACTATTTTTTTAATTTCACATGGGCGGAGTCGCGAGCAACAGCTAGTAGACAATATGTTGATTAAGACAAATGCATGTTTAAGTTTTTATTGAAGTCATATTTTTAACATATTCTTATATCTTTGATGTATATTGTAATTAGAAGAAAATTCTGGACATTAAAATGTTCATAAACATATAAGTAATTTGATTATTAAAATGTTTTGTTACTTAATAAATTACTTACAATTCCTAGAAATAAATATATTAAAAACAAAAATGCATAATTTTTAGACTACCGGGCTTTCAATTTTGTAAATTACATCATTTTCATTTTGAATTTATTTAAACAATACATCTTCATGTTTACATATAAAAAAAAAGTTGCTTTTTTAATTGTTGAAGATTGATTAATAAGAAAACTTGCACATTACTCATAATCTTTATATTAATACATTTCATCATTAAGTTAAGATTGGCTCGATCTGCTAGAAAATTTAGACATGGATAGATCGGATAATGTCATTTTTTCCAACTTGCAACAATTTTTAAATCTTTCAACTATTAATGTAGAGTATATAACTAAAATATATTTAGACATTGTCAATCTTAAAATTATACATGGTTTCATAAAATATTACATGTTATAATATCAAAAGGTAAAAAAATCAAACTTTCTCACTCTAATGTTTGCGTATGACAATTTACTGAAAAAGTTAGAATTGGTTTTTTTTTCTTGTTTCTTTTCAAGGTCATGTATTGCTTACTAGTACAAGGTAATCTATAATTATTTACTCTTCCTAATTACATAATAATTGATGTTAGCCCCCATAATACATTCTGTACCTATTTTGTAAGTATGCGGTGCACATAATTTAAGTAATTACTAATTAAGTATACATATAACTTAAATGCCTAACTCATAGTGAGCCTTGACACATTATTCTTCTACATTAACAACCACAGGGTAAAGGTTTAATATTGGCAATGGAACTCATCCTTCTTGTTCTAGTAGCTTTTCTACCCGTCATTTTATTTTCTATTTGTTCAAGACTCTTACCACGAGTTTCTGGTACACATACGACTACGAAAAACAAACCAATAAAACATATTGAACCGAACAACCAGAATGTTCCAGATGGTCCTATACCAACGAGAATGTTATGAAACGTTTTTGTTACTGTAAATGTACACAGCCAATTAAATGCAGTGCATATCGATGCTGCGGCACCTCTGATCTTCGCTGGCAATATTTCACCCATCATCAGCCATGGGATTGGTCCGAAAGCTAATGAAAATCCTAACAAATAGATCATGACACTTGTAAGTGGAATCCATCCTAATGTCGATACCTCCATATTTAAAGTATCTCGTACGTAGAAAAACGTACCCAATACTATCAATGTCACGGTCATAGTAACCGAAGATATGTATAGAAGCATTTTGCGACCTGCCCGATCAATCAAAGCTGTAGCAATAAACGTCGATATAAAGTTTACTAATCCTACTATAATTGTCGATAGGTTCTCGTCAATGGAACTTCCTGACATTTTGAATATCTTAACGGTATAAAATATTACAGCATTGATACCGGATAGTTGTTGAAAAGCCATCAAGCCCAAACAGATGAATATTGATTTCATATATTTTAAACTAAATAGTTCAGCCACTGAAGATTCTTTGCCGATTTCTGCGTCAGATAAAGCTATGTCCCGAATTTCATTATCGATTTTAGTGTTTGGTCCACGAAGCCACTGCAACGCTTTACGAGCTTCTTCCGTCCGTCCACGTGAGATATACCATCGAGGTGTTTCCGGGATCATGAACATAAGAATTAAGAATGGAATCGGCAAAGATGATCCTAAATAAGCGAGCTGTGACCAGTCAAGGTATTTACCTGCGACGTAACAAATCAGAATGCCAATATTTCCTATAGCCGTTGGGAATAGACCGAGTGTACCGCGAACTTCAGGTTGTATCGTTTCTCCTAGATATACGGGAAAAGCTAAGGAACCGATACCCACACAAAGACCACATATTGCCCGGCCTGCTAGTACTAAATGTACAATCTTTGCTGTAGCTATTAGGATCCATCCAATGAAGAAAGGAATAGCGGTGAACAAAATAGTTCTGCGACGTCCGATGTAGTCCACGAGTGGGCCGCCGATTACTCCTCCCACAAGCGCTGCTAGAGGCATCAGACCGCCGACCCAGCTTGCCTGAAATATTATCATAAAGTCCTTAATATTTAAACGGCTCATTTCCACAAAGGTGTTTTTAGCTTTAGCTTGAGAAGTGTATATAAAACCTCAGATTTTTTGTTTGTAAATCTTGTCAGTGGTAGCATACTCTACTTATAATTTTATATTTAAAAAATGTATAAACATCATTTAACACTCAGTAACTACAACGACGATGACTCTGAGGTCACGGTCAGTAATTAAGCGTGACAACAAGTTCATTGTAACTGATTTATATCTTCTTCGAAATTATGAATTCATTCCATAGATGTAATGTGCCCCTACAAAGTTATACAACTAACGCTTAACAATAGTTTACTTCGCAATATCAAATGTCAAAAACTTGCAATATGGATTTTTCTATTACCTGTTCTTCTGATACGGATATATAAGTGCTGTTCTCCATGGTGACCAGAGCTGGCGAGGTGTAAGCCGAGGAAAACCCTACAATCATAGAGCCCATAGAAACGGCTACCGCGGCTAGAACCTGTAAATTAATAAAACACGTATGAAAAAAAAGGGACTTATTTAAAACGTTGAAGAAGGTTATACCCAGAATGCGTTACAGACACTGGAATAGATAGGCTAAAATAAAATAAAGGTAAGTAATATTTCTCCGTGTGGCTCGATAATTCTTGCCAATCGGTTCTGTTTATCGTTTTAGGTCCCGGTGTTCGATCACTAAATATTTCCTGTAGTAAAGCAAGCTAAGTTATACTTGACGTAGAAACAATGTATTCTGGAAGTCCTTGTTTTCAAAACTTCTAACGTGGTTTACCAAACTTAACAGGATGCTTAAACGTCATGTTCGTTATGCATGTAGGTAAATTGTGGGTTTTTAAAATATTTTTCACATTATAAATGCGAAAGTTTAGATCGATGAATGGATGTTTGTTAGAATTTATAGCCTAAACGCCTAACAGATCTCGATGTTTGACATAGACGTAGAAGATAGTCTGGAAGAACACTCATTTATGTTTTTTTTTAATTCCACGCGGACGGAGTCGCGGTCGAAAGTTGGTTTAAAGTATTTTTCATAAATTAAACATCAATTAGCTTACGTACATATTAACTGAACTCGTTTGTATCAATGTTATCTAACTGTGTGACGTTCGGGATGGAGGTGTGCGCGCTCCGCCTACGACCAATTTAAGCAATCATCGGTTCTGATTGTTTCCACACACACATTCGTATAGTAGATAGTATCGTAACTAGCAGACATTCTCTGTGCCAATGTAAGATATTCCCTCAGCTTTTTTTTTTTCAAAGTTTTCTTCGCATTATTTAAACGTAGCTGTTCTAAGCGTTTTTTGTGTCGAATTATTTACAACGAAATGTTTAATTACGAGTACTAAAAGCTAATATTACAAATTGAACAACATTATGCTTCTTTAAAATTACTCATTTTTCTATGAGAACACTAGCTGGTTATTCATTGGCTATTACATTTTTCACATGTTTTGATAACAACGTCATGCGTGAAAATTAAATGCATGAAGTAATGCATATTGGTTATATTTTATGCTTATTTTGTAAAGAGTTTATTATTACGTTGTTACATTTAAGAGCACTATATTAATTAAGTTGTGCCATATCTGTTGTGAGTGACTGTACTTGGTCCTTAATAAACCAACAAACGGCATAAATTAATGTTTCAAATTCGCATTAACTGTTTCAATTGTTTTATGTATACGAGCAAGATTTCTAATTGTTCGCAGAAATCTTCCCGTTTTGTCAAACGATTGTATTTGAGTCGGGTCAAATGCTTTCACGAAACGATTATTTTATTTACTTTTCCTTATATTTACAACAGTTAAATAACAATGAATTTTGTTAAGTTCAAATGTTCTACAATGCTAAGTAAATCCAAAATATAATCAAACAATACCAGATTCATTTTTATCTATTTTTCGTCTTTCATAAATTTTACGTTATTCCTTAATTTTAAATTCATACAGACCTGAGAAAAAGTATATTTCGGTTTTTCATATTCACTATCCCTAACCACTATGCTGTAGTGTGTATCGGCTCTCATTAAAATCTTCATTTTTAAAAACTAATATTCACTTTTCATATGAAAGTTGTTCACCAAACGATGTCTGTAAACGCACTGCACTCGTCCGGCACAGACGGCTGAAGAAATAGCGTCTCCTTGCTGTCGCCGCGATTTATACGAACTCAAATTGATTGGCTTTCGAGGCTATACGATTCAAAACAATGTGTGATGTGAATTGACGTCGCAAAACTACGATTTCGTTATTGTCTCTAATACTTCATATTCAAATTCATCTCTTTTACGCACTCCAGCAAGTTACTAACTGAAACAAATATTGATTTCGATTACAGATATTGCACGGTTCGTAAAACTTATGCTATGTTGGATATAATCAGCATGAAGTTATGAAATGCTCTATTTTTCCACTTTTTCAGCCAAATTAAAAATACAAATAATGATTTTTCACAGTATTGCGATTAATACATTAAAGCTTTTTATATAAATCCACTACATAATTTAATTATTCATTACGCATGAAGTTAACAGAAGGCTTGGCTTGTCACGGTAGGGTCGTCTATTTAATAAACAGCCACAAATTGTATGCATGTAAAGCTTTAGGACTAACTTTGTGCGTGTGTTTATCTTTAGTTTGCTCTGTTAAAAAACTTTTAAATAAACATATCGTCGTGTCATTCCATTTGGAGACATGTCCAGATATTTCGAGTTTGTAACCTTACTGTTACGTTAAGGATTGGTTTTGTCTAACAAGCTGCTTACTTGTGTAAAATATTGTGCCGCGTTTCTTTGAAACATTTCCTGTGATAATTTCGACAGACTTACAAGTTGAAAAACTATACTTCACATTAACTACAATTTTGTCAAATTTTACCTTCATATTTTCGTGTATTTAACTAAAATAGAATTAAAGAATCATATGATGTTATCGGTGTGATCTAATTAAAGATTCATCACTCCCGAATCTTTAAACAATTATTTTACATTTTTGTACTATAACGTATGAAACATTATTAGATGGTGTCATAAAAATATGACACGTTATTTACATAATAAGAAAAATTACACAACAGTATTGTCTTAGTAAATTATAAACAATCCTAATTGTCTGAATCTAGTGTTAGAGCTTAACAAGATGGATCGAATTCTCTGCGGAACTACGTAATATGAGTTTCATTGTAAGATTAGTGCCACATACCAGCATTTGATTTAGATATCCTTTCAACTGTTTTATTATTAACTAAATTTCACTGCCATTTCAACTATTACCTATGTATAGAAATGTAATTATTCTCTGTATTTTCCAAGGGATTGATACAGATGCCAATATTCTTGCACGACTGTTATGACAATCTCACCGTCAATTTCCACACGTGCTTTGACGATCATTCGGTAAACAGGATTTATGAACGTAATTAACAATGTTATGAACGATTAATGTGTATTTAGATGTGGCATACGTACCGTATATAGGGAACACGTTGTGTTGGAAATCACCGTCTAACGTGCAGTTGACACCTGTAAAATTGATTAATGTGCGCGTCCATGCTCAGGAAATATACCATTTTTGTCACGCATATGTTTGCTATATTATTTTATATTAAAACTAAGATTTTCTACGACCATTTTATTAGATTTCACTTATTATTTTACTTTTTTCAAATATATCTCCTATCGTACTTAAATGTATTAGAAGTATTGTTATGCCACTAACAAAATAAAATATAGTTTAAGTAAGCACAATAAACTTAATCAAGTTACTCAAATTACTATACAAGTTATGTCCTTTTCTCTATCATAGAGACATGAATTATTACTTACAATACCAGTAATAAAACATTAAAAGTTCACCCCTCTCATGCTGTCATTAAACAGTTAAACTCTATCAAAATTCCTTACATTATTAACTACGCCTTGTACTCGTAATTCAAACCTAGATAGGACCAGTTATAATATGATCATTTGTTTGTATGATAAAATGTCACCGATCATGTTCATACTAAAAAAACATCTATTCAAATATTAATCTTTTTTTATATGAAATCTTTAGAAGAAATGCCATAGCAACATTTGTATGTGAATGTTATTGAGTTTTTTAACTGGCTTTTTTTGCAAACGAGTTGCGGGAACACCGAGATGTGCATCGATTGCATTTGTCAAGCAGAACTTCTTTTCCTTTTTAAAGACTCTTTTTGAAGCAAATTGCGCTGGAAACATTGTTGGCTTATAGGTGGTGATTAAAAAAAACAATAATTTATTCCATTCTTTTTTTATTGAAAATAGTAACAAATATAAATAAATAACGCTTCCGTAATATACGAAAACATTTCGTAATATTCTATCCTTATAAGTATGCGTACATAGCGCCTTTACTTTTTAGTTTAACCAATAACATACATTGAGTTACAAGTTTTTAAAGTACAATAATTTTAACCTTAGTTATGTCATGTTCTTTTATGGTACGTGATAATTTAAAATAATCTAAGAATAAAATTTAATATTATTTAAAAATATATAAAAGTTAATATTTCAATGACACTACGTTCAATACATACTGGGCTTACAAGGGAACCACAAACGAGATTCTTTTCTTTAGTAAACATGATTAATTTACCTTCTTCATATTAGTGAAGTTATTTTACCATAAAAATTACATCTAAAGGAACTATAATTTACTTAAATGTAAGAGTGAATTACTAAACTACTGTATACTGTACAAAATAAATGATTACAATCCAAGTCAGTCTTCTGCGTACACGTTACGTGTAGCACCACTCCCCTCTTTTGTACCTAAATCACAATCAAAATAATGGGTTTCTAACTCAACCCTTTAAATATACCACACTTGGTTTACTACTTTCAACATGCTTAACAGCCGTTTTGCATGTGTTTGTTCCCATTAATATTCCGTATTCTAACCGAGCCTCCCGTCAGTTTTTTCTCGATCTCCTCCAAACTCTTGCCTCGGGTTTCTGGCACAAAGAAAATCACGAAGAACAGCCCAATGAGACAGATAACAGAGAACAGCCATACAGTTCCGTGCATGTAAATAGCTTGGATTATATTTGGGAATGTCTTGGTTACGATGAAAGTACAGGTCCAGTTGAATCCTGTTGCCAATGAAGCTGCGTTTCCACGGATTTTCGACGGCAAAATTTCTCCGAGCATCAACCAAGGAATAGGGCCGAATCCGATGGAGAATCCTAGGACGTATATTATGAGGCAGGCGAGTGGCAGCCATCCGTATGGTGTGACATCAACTCCAACGTTTTGAAGATAGTAATAAGAGCCCAAAGCCACCAAGGTCAAAATCATTGAGACTGAAGATATGTATAACAGTATTTTCCTTCCCAGTCTGTCGATAAGTACCGTTGCTATGAAAGTAGATATAAAGTTGACGACGCCGATAATAACCGAGGATAATTTCGGATCGATGTTACTGCCTGCTGATTCGAAGATGGTCGAAGCGTAGAATATGACTGCGTTGATGCCACTCAGTTGTTGGAAGAACATGAGGCCCAAAGAGATGAGCACAGCTGGGACATATTTAACAGCGAATAGTTGTTTGAATTGGTTGCCGCGTACAAGATCAGCCTCGGCTTGCGATCGTGTCAGTTCGCGCATTTCTTTTTCGATATTAATATTTTTGCCTCTCAGCCACTGCAGGGCTTTGCGAGCGTCTTCTGCGCGATTTTTCGTAACATACCAACGAGGCGTTTCTGGCGTGATAAGCATCAATAAGAAAAAGGGAATAGCCAGGGCACCACCTAAAAATCCCAAATGTCTCCAGTCTAGCTTAATGCCAGCAAAGAATGCTAGTAATATTCCGGTGTTACCCAAAGCGGTTGGTAGTAATCCCAGAGACCCTCGAACTTCCGGTTGAATCGTTTCTCCGAGGTAGACAGGGAACGCCAGACTGCCGACGCCGACGCTCAGACCGCAGAAGGCTCGTCCGGCTAACACCATGGCAATTCCGTTTGCGTTCGCTATTAACATCCAACCGAGGAAAAACGGTACTGCAGTGCCAATTATAGTGAGCTTTCTCCCGAAGCCTTCTATTAGTGGACCTCCCAGTACACCACCAACTAACGCTGCCAAAGGCATTATACCACCGATCCAACTGATCTGTAAATAAAAAAATGTAATCATTATTTCCAAGTTTTTATAAAAAAAAACATTAATTATTTTATCAACAACAAACGTATTAACCCACTTATCATATTTTTTTAGAGTATTAATAACGTCAATGTTTTTAATAAAATATGATGTTAGTTTCATAATGATTTTTACATCAGAAATAGATTAAAACAGTAATTTACCTCTTCTTTTCCGAGTATTAATGTCTCGTTCATGCTGGATTGAGCTGGTGATGTGTAGCCCGAGGAGAAGCCGACTATCATGGAGCCCATTGACACGGCCAAAGCAGCAAACACCTGCATCAATTAACGTTCAAATTTACATCCAAGTTACACAATCACAAACATTTTTTATAACTTTAGAACGTTAACCTGCTCAGATGACATTTTAACTAACAACTTTAAGAAAATAGTCTACTGGTAATAAAATTCAACTACTGGTCTAATTGTCATACATTTTGAAAAGACATAGTTACGGGAAGCGATCTTAAAAAGGTCTGAAGTTCATGGGGTGAACAGGTCTTATATGTACCTCGCGTCTATTGATCTATCCATAAATATGGATTTTTTCCTTAACCCCTTGGTACACATACTAGAACTTGAACAAACACAATGCTTCGCTATTTTGAGCTTTATTTGTTTGATTTACCTAGCCATGTTTTTTAAAAGCAAATATTACATGGCGAATACACGTTTCTATTGATTTTCTTATAGTTACATAGGAACTTTTGTTACCTGTGTACAAATATTGAAATTATCAGACGTTGAAATCCCATATATTTTCTTGAAGACAACAAATCCCATTTTCATAAAAAAGGTACGTATGTAAGTTAACAATATAATGAATGTTTTGCACAGAAGCAATTATTCTCGGTTTACTGTTTCCCCTTATCGTTTATTGTAGATTTAACGTTCTAAAATTACTTCCATTAAAATTCTACGAGAATGACTCGGAAATACAAGATTGTTCAAGCTCCCTTAGTCGCAGAATTTATTTCGTTATACTCAAAATGGTAATTGCTAAATGTGTTAAGAAATGAAAGAAAACCTACCTGTGTCCAAAGAAACAGGCTCTGTGTTGTCGGTACATTGTAGGGCTGGCTGTCACCGTTGATCGCGTAATTAGTTTTAACTTTGTTACTGTCGGTGCTCAGTTGTTTCACGAAAGGCACCGAATTGCGCAAGTTCTCCTCCTTGGCGCTCTTAATTTCCATTTCCATTTTATATTTAAACTCGTTCCCCAAGCTGATCTGACGCAACTGTTGGAAATGGCGCCGAGTTTTCTCAAAAGAGTCCTGTTCGTCTTCACTACTGCTTTCAGTAGACACGTTCTCTGGGATGGCGGCGTAGTTGGGCGCGAGGGTCCCCTGGGAGCCGCAGGACGTCGCTAACGAGGTGCAGGTGGTAGACGCGGACAACGTAGGCCGCGATGGCACCCGGGCGTATTTCGGACCTCTCGCACGATAGAGCCGCTCCTCGTCACCTTGCCCTCGCCGTGTCTGTTCGCTCCCTCCCTGTAAATAAACGAATGCAATTTAATTTATTTAATAGATTTAAATCAGTTGCAATTCTATCGTATACAATATTTACCCTCAAATGCAGGGCCTATCTACTCGGTTGGTTTTGTCCACTAAACGGTCAATACTGATTTAACATCCGCAAACATACCCCATTTATTGTATTCACTATCTTATGTGCGTAAGTCAGTCATATAGATAGATAAGAATTATGAACTGAGTCTGAGGTCAGACTTAAGAAAACATCGCTTTATTGACTACGATCCGTATGATCGTAGCATGGACAAGATAACCTAACGATATACATAAAGCGTCCACCCTGACCTGGTCACCACGTCAATTCCTGGCACAGACATCACACGGGATTAACTATTATTTTATAATTGCTCGCACTGTTACTGTTTCGACCATACAATACGATAGCGAGTGCACTTTCCAGAGCGAACTGTCCACGAATAACGACCTACCGGCGGCCCATTGTTTATATCGATTATTGATATCATCAGACGCCTGTCGACTATAATGATGTTTATGAAACATAAAATATAAACTCTTTCTTCTGTTGTCGTACCTGTAGAAAATTTTTCTTTGAACCGTAATTCAAGCGTTCAGAAATAGATATTGCGTGATTTCACGATGTATCGGAATACATTTACAGTAATATCATCCTTTAGTAATCTCGATCTTTCTTTTGCCTTTTGTATCATTAAAAATGTTCGAATTACCTTTAAATCATTACTAAACGTGTTGTAATTCGTATTTGTTTTAAGTAATTCTTTACTATTATTCATTATTTCACAATGAATTTTGGTATAAATTAAAATTGTAAATATAAAACATACGAAATTGTGACAAATTCCTTCTGTCATAACATAATGACATCAAAATCGGTTACAGACAGCAAAATTCCTTTTTGAAGTTTATATGGTGATATTAATTTATTCATAGTGATTCTAACAATTTTCTTGTTATTTTGTTTATCTTTCTTGACCCTTTATATAAACGGGTCAATCGACACGTGCCTGATAGGGAATAACCATTTTGCTCTTTGTGTTTGCAAATTAACTGTTTTATCTAATTATGCAAACATGTTTAATAGCTGGAGACATGCCTGGTGGTGATGATAGTATGACGACTTTGATTGTAACTTTCCCTCAACGATACATAGAAAGCATAAAATTAAATGTTATCAGGAACTTTAAACTTTCAAGAACAGATAACACATAAAATACTGTAAGAAAATAATTGCATATTTTTGTTTTATTTTTCTTAAATAAATAAAGCATGAAAGGCGCTTTGTTTATTATTATTTTTAAGTAAATGTAACGCCTACGGATGAACATAACAATTCAGTTAGTAATAGTACCCACTGGTCATGACAGGAGAGTACACAAATATTCGATTACTCATTGTAAGAAAAAACTGTCTAGTAGATAATTAAAACAAGCAGTCTATAATCAATGCCCTCTATAAGTTGACAAACATAGTAGTAATTTAAATCAAATAAAAGTTAATTCAACATAGATATAGTCATTTTAAATGATGGAAGTCATCAGTTAGATTGGTCATTGTATTGACTTCAGGAGCAAACGCCCAAAATAACAATTTGTACTTATTTACATGTTAAGTACTTTGTTAATGTTACGTAAATACTGCATGTTATTGACTCGTGATGGAAAAGTAAACAATGTTTCGTGTTAATGTCCTTTTATTAACGTTGTTTGTAAATAAATGTTCCGGTTTTTAAAGCTTTCAATAAAGCAAAATATCTAACTTGACTTGCGTCATGTTAAAAAAATCTACTTATATAGGCCAAAATATTTGCATGAACTTAATTAGAAGTTTATAATATATTGCCTAATGGCATAACAACAACGTTAATACAATCAACACTGATCATGACCTTGACCCTTAGAATAAATATACCAAGGGGCAAGTCCAAATGATCTTGTACGACAATTTTTAGGCATTCATTTATCAATAATCTTTAAATGTATTTTTGAATCAACCAATTTTTTGTAGAATTTTTACAAGGAAAAAGGTTCGTCTGATGTCTCATTACGTTTTCTTTTATGTATGTTGCATAAACTGTACCAGAAAAAATAAATTGGACTTGCTGCCATCTATCGCAAGTTATGATCAACTGCTAAAATCTAGTACGTTAGCTTACGCCGATATACAGACTTGTCACTAGATGGCACTGTTTAATTGAAAATTGTAATTTCAACAAATTTAATTGATTAATATATTAATATGAGGAAAATAGACATTTTAGTATCCCATAATTTTAAATTGAAATATTTGTTATATTTCCCATTCAGTTATGATTAGATCATAACCAAACTTAGTTATTTCAGACAGTACTGTAACGGTTCGACACAGGAAGTGAGCAATGTATACAAAAACGAAAGTAATGATTTCGCATACGGAAAGCAATATCTGGCTGTCAGTAAAGGCAGACTGGCTGACCTTGCAAGGCCGATGTTTGAATCTTGATAGCTTAGACTTAATAAATAAAATCAGTTTGTAAAACAAAAAATCATAAATTCTAAGTTATATTTGTATGATTAAATAATATTGAAGCATTGCAATATTTATAAGCTTGGTTACCGAGCAACGAATACCATCGAGCGGACAACGCGCCAGTCCGTCTATGCTACACGCAGCCCGATCTCCGGCACTTCCAGAGTTTTCCAAACCGAAAGTTAAATTCGTGTGTTACCGTTTTCTTTGGGACATGCAAACCAGTATTGGTATGTAAAAATGTTGTTTATTTTTTAATTGTATTATGAAAAAAGTTGTCAAACTAAAACGCATCACAAACTTACCATTTCTGTGGAGAGCTGCTTCAGGTATCCCATAATTTTCCCAACCGAATTCTTATCGAAGCTCATCTTGACCACTATTTAGTAAATTTGCTTAAAAGTCTTAACGTCAAGGAACGTCGAAATGATAATGTCTATAAAATTTAACACTTTGAACAACAGTTTCTATTCGAAGATTTAAAAGTTGTATATAATCCAGATTCGCGAGAAATCACCGATTAAATAATACGCATCACTCGCACGTATTTATTTGAGGATGTGTAGCTTCAGGCTAGCACGGCCGGAAAGCGGGCGAGCACTATTGTCGCGACTTGACACAGTTTCGTAAGACGCCGGTTCGCGTATAAAGTGAAAACTTGTTCGTTTTCATACAACAATTTATATTATTTCGCGCCGATTTCCTGCAAGGGTGCACAACATTCAACTATAATTCAGGATCGCTCAACATATGAAAATGTTGGCAGCGCGTAACTGCTTCTTCGGAGCTCAAGTTATGTATTGAAACTTGTAGATGGCAGCGCAGTGTTTTATAGGAAGGTTGGCAGCGGTCGGCGTCGACGAGCCCCCTGCGCGCCTCTCGCACGCCCCTCGTGTGCATACAGCGGTAGCGAGCCTGTGTGAGTGTCGATATCATCGTGTGTGAGTACACGCGCACAAATACATCGCGGCTGAATGTTCACCTGAACTGAAAATTTGCATAATACGCTAGAATCGGTTAACTGGTACTAGTCATGCACAATAGCGACCTTATAACATCGTAATAAAATAATATGGTTTGTTAACATTATCTGGTTTTTAATACTATTTTCGTTATATTTTTAAATGAAACACGTGAAAATCTTATCGCGCGCTAAACTTTTATTGTGTTCTTAATTACTTTTATATTTTATTAGCATTATTAATAGACATGACAAGATTAATGTCTAACGTGACGTTAATACAGTGTTATGTGATTAAAACCTGCGAAATATTTGTGAAGAGTTATGTAGACATTCCTTTAAATTTTATTCTTTAGGTATACTTTAAACATTTTACTCAACGCTAAAGGCGTCCAACTACGTCGTTTTAACAATTATTCCATTGCGAACGTCAAAAAAAAATCACATTGCGTAGGAAATTTACAGTCTGAAGTGATATGATTCATGAATTCATGTGCTCCATCATAAAATCAAAACAAGGACATCAAGATGGACGACAATATCGACTTTATAAAACTGTATCAAGAATGACTAAAGCTATATTCTTAAGAACGGTTTTTTTATTTTAAAAAAAATAACAACGCAATATTGTCTGGCGAAACCTCTCCCTTCCTTCCCAACCCTCGCCCGTCTAGTCTCCCCAGCGAGGGAATCCCTTCTAGTTCGAACTCTATTTGAATATCTCATTTATTTTAACTGTATATTATACCATAGTCTATTGCATATGCATTTTTTTTATTTTCTGTGAATACGTACGAAGCGTAAATATTATTTTCTTTTATAGCTAAATACTAACTAGCGAGCTCAACTTTTGTACTTCTCCTATTTTCCATCGTTCTACTTTGTAGGTGTTTATTTATTTATACGCTAAAGTTTTCTTACATCAATTCATTAAAAATAAAAGTTTCACGTCATATTGAATCGATGCATATGGTTTGTATTATGCATGTTTATATCGGAATGTAGGCGGAGCGCGTACGTCACGTCGGTCGAGTACGCGTTAGCACAGGCGACGCCGCGCGACGCCACGGCAAATGTATTGTGTCATGCCTTTCGTTTACACCGGCCAAATGACTGGGCAATTGTCGCTCGCAATTCACGAAGCAGCAATTTTATCATTTGTTAAGCACGCTGTTCGTTTTATAGTGGAAAATCATATCAATTCTTTGAAACAAAACTAGAACTAATGTGTTAATATAAAATATTATACTGATTTGATATCTGACGGTTCTTTTAGGTTAGCCTTTTAGGTTTATATGAGTTTTCGTTTTACGAATCCTAGACAATCTAGACTAAGTTGTTCTCTTAATTTTGTCCAGGAAAAGTTTAAACCAACACTATGTTTTAGCAGTAATTGGTGGGTAATTCAAATACAATACGATTATTTCGTAAGATTGTCGCATGCGTGCTCCAAATCACGTGCGCAAGGAAGGACTATGCTTGTCGGTGCGTGCGGCGCGGTGCCGCTGCATTGAGAGACGCGGGTGTGCCCCGCCCTCGGACTTACACACACGAACAGTTTGAGCTTTTGCATCAGACCGCGTCATAGATGAACGAACTAGAAGGTTGTCCGACTTGACGACGTGACTCGCTCAGCACGCGCCAATGTTCTATACAATTTTCGGTTTATTCGCTCTAGACTAGCGGATTGCATTTTGTTTAATCTTTTTAGGTACATTTTTAAGATTTACTATGAAGAAAAGATTCGGTTAATGTAAGTTTTTTTTACATGTACATTTATTTACTTCTAGTCACTTTCTTTATTTTATTTTTAATTTGCTCTTCACATCAACGTTATCACCATATAAGAATTTTTATTATTTAGCCGTTACGTTTTTCTTGATGCCTAATAAATTCTAACATAACGAAATCCACTAAAAAGCGCGGGAACCTACGCCGATCGATGTGCATGCACACACACACCTATGTATACGCACTCGTACATTGCTGTACAAGCATTCACATGTGTCACGGATTCAAAAAGCCAATGGAATATTACTAGCGGCTCTGGCTGTTGCCGCGACTCTCGAACATTCTTAAATGGAATGTACATCAACATGGCGCTCCCGGCAGCCCGTCACCCTGCTTACTGAAGAAAGCGCGCTCCGCTCAAATGAAGTTTATAAACATTCATTTTCGTATCCAATCTTAATCTCCTGTAAATTTAAAGATGAACTATAAACTAAGATCTAGTATTTAATAAATACATTTATAACTGTTAAGTTAAATTTTAGACTATATTTAAGCTTTAGTTTTATGACTGGTTTTATTATTTTACGTCTATTTTATTTAAGCCTACTTTTTACGGAACCCTGAAGATGTTTTAGTAGACTACTGAATTCTTGTTTTTTCATTTTAGCTATTTCTTAGACTACTACTACTAGGAAAGGCCATTAGTGAAAGTTTAGGTTACATTTTGTTGGAAATCCATCTATAGGTATGTTTTTGAAAGATTTTCCTGTTATGTCCGAGTAAATGGCCTTGTAATTTTAAATTTGTTATCAAGTAATTGATTCCTATGGTGTATTTCCGAGACGAAATGATAAGGTGATACATGATCATAACATAGAGATGCGTGTCACGCGTCTTGCTTGCCGGGAGTGCCTTATCTTATCAATAAATAGATAAAATAGTGATTAAAAATTTTCCGCCAAGCTTCGAGGTGGGAGTTACAACATAATTGCCTGGTCAGTTGGATAAAACTCTATCGTTAACTTTAACTTAAGTACTATTTTATTTTATTAAAATGCATTTTTATTATACGCTGCATTGTAGTTAAAAATCCATTTAATTTAAACATAACTATACAAAAAAGTGAACAAAAGCAATTTATATAATTACAATTGAAATTATTTAAAAATATAAAATCTTATATAACTGTATGCATATTTTTAATTTTATTTGCGTTAAACAAACTACGTTTCACGATTAATAACTAAAATTAATTTTATTCCATAAAAGAGAAATAAATGGAATAAAAGAGTAATGGAGTTTTTAAAAATAGGTTTTTATTTTAAATGTTTACCATTAGTTAAGTATCCACAAACGAAGCATTGATCAAGGATATCCAATTATAGACAACCGCAAAGTTATTTGATATCCAGACTTGCGACGCCAGGAACGTGAGTTCACTGTAAAATAAATATAACTTACTAATTATACCAATAAAATGCCACGAAAGGGAATAAACTTTTCACATATATTACATCAAATTGTAAAACATTTGGCTATAATAATTTCAAATTTGTTAATAAATTTTTAACATGCTGAAGAATACACTAGTTCCATTACATGTATGAGAAACGCAAAATAACTATATTTCCTCCTTCCCTAGCAGTTCAATGAGCACAAACTTGAAAATTTAGTTGGAATAACAAAAGAAAGCCACTCTACTCTCCCATGCACCGTAAGTCTAATACGAAGGGGCTCCATTCGTGGCGTTATACTAAGGGGAGGACGAAGTAATGTTTCTTACTGGATACATTTCATAGCTTTCAAAATATTATATCCTCAATCTAGACAAATAACACGAAGGAAATTCGGATAATCACAATTCGTCTATAGTCAAGTGCTCTAATAATTTAATGGGTTGTTAATTTGATTGGACCCGACTAAACAACGACGATATCTCTATAAAATCGGAGTATAGATACGTTGTTTAGAGTTTTCAAGTGTTACAAGTCATCAATGCAATACTGTGTCGTGGTAATGTGTTCTGAGTGCGGTGGCATTCAAAGCTGTTTACATTTGGCTGCCGTGTTATATCCGTTGGTGTTCCTCAAACTTCCAGCACTTTCCATCTTATTCGAGATTTCTTATCATTTATTTATGTTGTTTTGATATTGAATGTGATTTAATGTTTTATCTGCTGACTTGATATCTACACTTATATTATAAAGAGAAAAGATTTGTATATTTGTATGTATTGAAATAACTCAAAAACTGGTGTTCCAATTTTAAATATTCTTACTCCATTAAACAGTTATGTTATTAGTGAGTAACAGGCTATTTTTTTTTATTTTTTAATTTCAAGCGGTCGAAGTCACGAGCATTAGCTAGTCATGTAGCCAATGCCAGTGCCAGCTATCACATTTCACAAAGCCTGTTAATATCTAATACAGTAAAATATATTTACTAATCAGTTTTCTATAAAAAATATTTGAATATGAAGTCATATCATTCGATGCCATGTGCTCGAGCATTAACAAGATGGCACGATGTTTTTTATTAGCTAGAATAAAGTTGATAATCGTGACATTCGTATTAGACGCGAATCGCGTTAGCTTAGTTGACACCCAATAACCCAGTGTTAAGTGCCTCTAATAGAAGTTGGACACTTACTGAACGACTCAAATGTTGTACAAGTAAACCATGATTCTGTTGTTAACAATGTATAAAGTTTGTAACTCTAATATTTCTCTCCGTAGCTGCGGTGCAGTGCCTTAAGTTTGCTTTTTTATTTCATTCAAGATATTAGGATTGCATGAAGTTTGTAATTTTATGCATGAGATGTTTTAAATTTGTATTATTTGAATATACTTTAATGCATAAAATGAGAATATTTACATTTCAGACTTCCTCATAGAATAGATAATGCATTATTTCTGCTAGTATGACTCAAAAAATTGTAAAGGTCATTTTATTTTGACTGGACTAAATATTGTTTTCTTTAATCTTTAACGTATAAGATCATTCGACCTGTATTAGTGTCGTTACAAGTCTGTATTAATGGTAACAACCTCATTATACTCAAGTGGTTCAAAAATATGACGTAATTCATTAGTGAATCTTTTAAAATTCATCCCTT